CGAATTATTGAGGAACACAGGCAGTAAAAACTCAATGTTTAATGACATCATGTGACCGATAACATGGCTAACACTGTACTAACAGACCAAGAAGGCGGAGCTCCAGGATTCCAGGATTGTGATTGGATGTTATTCTGTGTATGTGTGATGCTTCCACACAGTCTGTGCTAACCAAGCATCTTTTATATACAGTCTGTGTTATGATGTGTAATGTGCTATGAAGTCATGTGATCAAATTACGGCGACTTCCCAAACCAAACAGGAAGTGACTTTAATCCGAACGCTCGCTGCTGCAGATTATTCAGCCCGGACACGGTCCGGTGTGCTGCATCCGACTGAGCGGATTTCTGTCAGAGGCCCCAGACGAACCTGCAAACGGCTCTGGATGCGATCCGCAGCCACCGACGTAAATGCGGTGCAGTGAGGGGTCAGTATTCGTGATGGGAGGAAATAAGGGCGCGTGAAAGCTGGCGTCTGATAGATAGCACACAGTTTTTATTAGTATATTTAGCTTTGTGATGTACAGCTCGGGAGGAAACAAACCAAAAACAAACTGAACGGTCACAAAGTCCAGAAACATTTCAGCCTTAGCAGTGACATCACACAAAGAAAGCTCAGTCTGTATAATCATTGGTTTCTTCGTCATGGACCAGAGTGATATGTAGTCATCAACAGAAAGAATAAGAACCCAGATTTCTTCTTTTCTTTTTCACATATATTATCAACACTTTTCTAAAGAATCAAAATATTCAGCCACAGGTACTGCAAAAGGTATCCACTGTTATATAGAAGAATAATAAACACAATAAATATAAAAAGAATTGATTTGATATAATTTATATGGTATCAAAGAGAGGGAAATGGGCCTTCAGCTGCTTTTATAAAAGTCATGTCCTTTTTTCTGTTCCTGAGGTTGAGTTTCGCCGTCCGCAGTTTAAGTTTCGCTAAATACACTCACAGACTAAAGACCCGACGCCCGGGGCCCGAAATGGCTTTTCATTCACTGAGGAATCGTGTCCCACGGATCGCGGAGGGTCGCCGTGGCCCCGCTGGGATCCTGTGTGCCGTGGAGTCAGCCGAGAGGTCGGGGGTCAACCGCAACCCACCCCTCCAGAGCCGAACAATCGCACAACTCCTCCCTCCCACACCCAGAAGGCCGCCCGGGAACGCCTCGACTTTCTTCACCGAGCACGTTAGCGTGGCAGATTTAACTCAACGCTAATGATGCTAACAGGAAGTACCCGATCCCCCAGACCCTACGGAGGACTGAAACTGCCAAAGTGACTGAACAGCTCCAACACTTTAACAGAAAATTAAATGCATCAACCCAAACATTTCTGTCCATATTCACCTTTGTACAGATTTACCCCGTCTGGCTTTGACCCGGCTTCAGTGACTGTGCCAACATCTGGACCACATCTGGGCCAGGCTCACCACCTCTCCTGCAGGAAATCGCCGTCTTCTAAAAACTAGACCAAACTGTGCACTACTAAAAATAATGAAAATAAAAATATATAAATAATGTTCTCATTTGTCATAATCCCATAAAACTAACACTGATGAACTGAAAACAGGCTTTAAATTAAAACTAACGGCCTGCAAATCATTTACCTGAGCTGTAAATGAGCCTTAGGTCAGGTCCAAACATGGCTGCTGCACGGGTACCTGCGTGCCAATTACATTCATTTATTCATGCATTCATTTTGCACTTTATTTCCTTATTTACAACATGAAACAGGAAATAAAGAGGAGAATTACAGTTCAGATTAATTTCTTAGTTGATGCATTTAAAGGTGCTAAGGCCATTAGTACTTTTGGCACTCTCAGGCCTCCACAGTGGGAAAGGGCAGAGTGTGAAAGGTGGATAATCATATTTAGTCTCAGCCCCATTTCCCTGTGTGAGGAAGGAGCGAGAGGAACTCAGGAGTGGAAAAGAGAGGCATGAAGATGAAAACAGACAGAACCAGAAAAGAAAAATAGCAAAAATCTGTACATGTAAACATCACACTTCCACTGAGTCGAACCATGAGGAGAGTTACAGGTTTCACATTGGTATTACTGAAGGTACGAAGGCCCGGCAGAGGACGTCGAGACAGTCACGAGTCCGGCACAAAGAAGTCAGCCAAAGACGGGAAGGAAAGAGAAAAGCACTAACTGAAAACCAGGAAACCGAGCGGCCCGGACGCCGTCTTTATATTCTGACAGAAGCCGTACAGATAGAAAAATAAAAACGCTCCATAACGCCGTCTGCCTTCTTTCTTTTTTTCTTAAAGACGTGTTTTGAGCTTAGATTCTGATTCGATGGGACCTGACTGGCATCGCGACTACAGACGCCGTCCTCCACAGCAACATGTGATTCAAGACACAAACAATACATCCTGCACTTTGATGTTCATGTCTGCATCTGTTAGAAACCTGCCGCCATGACAGCCAGATTTAATGAGTGAAGCGCGCGTTTCCACGCTTCATCAAACTCGAGTCTTTGAGCCAAAAGGAAACAAACTGAGAGGAACCAGCTGGAGTCGTGGTTCCTGCTTCTACACAGACTGCTGACCCTCGCTTCTGAGGGTGAGGAACGACCGGGAGCACGATCCCATCGTGAGGTCACGCCCCTTTAAATTCGTCCCTGAGGACCGATCGTCTGAGGCAGACGGTTCAGAGGAAACCGCTCAGACTGTGGGTCGAGCTCTCCTCCTCCTCGCCACGTCTTCCTCCGTGCTAAGAGCGGTTGGCACCTCCTTTGAGTGATCTAAAGGTGACAGCAGCAGGAAGACCCTGACCCTGAACCTTAAGATGACCCCTCAACATCCTTCAGAGGGGCTGACAGGAGGCTTCTGTTACCTGTGGACACAGGTGGGCTCTCCATGCTGACTCACCGTCATCACAGCAGGCTGCGACTGATGGTTTTTCCTTTTAAGGAGTTAAAACAGGTGGACATGAAGACAGAAGGCGCTAAATGTGACGTAAACTGATCGACTCCACCTCCAGAGTCTCTGAGGCCCGAGAGGTCGACGAGACGCCGTGATCTTTGTGACACACTGACCACCTCTGTCTCAACACGACCTTTAAAAACAGAGCAGCTGTGGAGGACAGCTAAGATGAGCTCAGCATCCGCGGCGGCGCCGGCCGGGGCCCGTCTGCTGACGTGCACGTTTGGAATGTGTGGTAGAAACTGCTGGAATATAAAAAGACCACTTTAATCACACTACAAAATATAGAAATCAGAAGAAGAATCACGTCATACTAAAAAATAGAAACTGGATAGAAACGCATCTGCTATGTACTCGACCGTGGAGACGTTAACAACGAGCGGAGAAGGAGGCGGCGGCGGCGGTGTATGGCTAAAACACTGGGATCATTCTCCCGATCTGTCCGGCTGTGCCGACAGCAGGAATGGAAACCAAACAGAGAGCAAATTCCACCTTTCTGCAGATTGTCATTTGCTTTTTGTTGTGTGTGATTCAGAAACATCCTCTCTGAGAAACAGGAAGTGATGCGATGATTTCATCAGACCATCTCAAAGGTTTTATGAACTTATTCCTTAAGAAATCCAACAAAAGACGAATAATAACAAGGTCGCCAGAGGTCGTTTCAAAGGAGCAGAAGGTATCGAGGAGGATGAACAGAACGGCTTCGAACATTCGACCCTGGCGTGAGCAGGAAGTTAAAGGAAGTCGGGAACATAAAGCAGAAGTGCATCGAACTGTTCCTGCGTTTCCTCTGAACTTTATGGAGTCCTCAGAGTCCGTACAGGCGATTCTGAAGGCGATCACAGAGAAAGACTGCTTCAAAGGACGTGTTTGGAGACTTCAGGACATCCTCCCCGACAGCAGGAAACCAATTGCACGCTGCCATTCAAAGTAAACAAACAGCTGTTTGTCTAACGGGAGGATCTCATTTATTTCTCACAAACATTTGGGAGCGTCGAGGCTTTTGGAACGGCAGCAGTGCAGGTGAAACCCCGCCGCGGTCCGAGGGATCGCCACACCTCCAAGTCCCGGGTCTGCTGACGCCACAGCAGAGAGCGGTTCAGCCCATCACAGCACACCTGGACCAGTCCAGGTGACCCAGAGGTGCTGGGTCGCTCTGACTCCGAAAGCCAGGAAGCAGAGGCAGCATCTGAGAGCACAGTGAGGATCAGATGGAGGAAGAGCAGGACGGGACGCCGGGACCCAAACTCTGTTTACGAGGACGAATAAAGTTTGATTGGACATCGGTGTTGATCGTCCTTTTTAAATGCTTTGAGGTGAAAGGTGGGTCAAAGGTCGTGCCCTCCTGCTCTTCTTCTTGTATTTTTTTTTTTTTTGCATATTTTTCTCCAGTTTTCCTCTCGCTGATCTTTAATCACAGCTTTCCAAAAACAAAACCTCATCAAATTCACTCACTTCCGTGTGAAACTTTTCCCAAAGCTCGGGCGCTTCTGTCGCTGCACATGAGCATGAAGGTGTGGATGTTTGGGTGGAGGCTGTGAGGTCTGAGCTGCCATCACAAACCTTCCAGTGAACGTGGTGATTATCAGCCGCATGACAGAAAACTGTCATGCCACGCCCCCCCTTTGCTTCACAGCAGAGCGGGGCGTGGGGGGTTGGGGGCGGTCCCTCTGAGCAAACATGCATACACTCACACAAAGGGGCTCCGCCCCTTCACATCACAGATGACTGTTGCTTTCCTCGCTGTGCAAAAAGGGAGCAAATTAGAGTGAAATGACCGTCGAGCTGAGTAGAAACCATAATAGAAGCAGAGCATCATCCAGGAAACCAGGAGCTTAACGAGCCCAAGTCCCTAACGAGCGCCTGAGGCCTCAACGAGGGCCCAAACTCCTAATGAGCCCTAGGCCCCACGAGCCCGAGGCCCCAACGAGCCCGAGGCCCCAACGAGCCCGAGGCCCCACCGAGCCCGAGGCCTTACCGAGCCCGAGGCCCCAACGAGCCCGAGGCCCCAACGAGCCCGAGGCCTTACCGAGCCCGAGGCCCCAACGAGCCCGAGGCCCCAACGAGCCTGAGGCCTTACTGAGCCCGAGGCCCCAACGAGCCCGAGGCCCCAACGAGCCCGAGGCCTTACTGAGCCCGAGGGCCTTAACGAGCTGAGGTTCAAAATGCACTTTGAAGCTAAATTTCACATAATGAAAAATAATTATCTTTAAACAACGCTATCAAAAGACAAAAGTACTCAGTGGTGATGAGAACGAGAATTAAAGGAAGAGTTTGAGTTTGGGGAAATAACTTGCTTCCTTGCAGAGATCCTGATGGGACGTTTGATGTTCTGACAGCTAGCTTAGCTTAGCTCAAAGACTGCAGGCAGGGGTAAACAGCTAGCCTGGCTCTGTTTAAAGGTCAGAAAATCTGCTTATACCTGTACAGAGCACCAGCTAACATGTTATGTTTTCTCTCTTTTTTTTTAGTATGGCTTCTTTTTACAGGGCATAACATGCTAATGAGTAAGCTAGCCACTTCCCCCAGCTTCTAGTGTTTAAAGCTAAGCTAGCTTAGGGCTACTGTCTTGTATCCTATATGGTCCAGAAGCTACTGCTGAGCCATAAGCATGTTAACCTCTGCTCTAAAGTTTTAACATGGGAGTCTATGAGGCCGACCCACCACTGGAGCCTCCAGAGGACATCAGAGGAACTGCAGCTTCTAGAGCTCCAGGGTTGGAAGGTGCAGCTAAAATTTACAGACAGGTACAACAATGAGGTCAGATTTTCATCTAACTTGAAAGCAAATCCTATTTCCACAAACGTCAAACTCTTCAAGCAGCAGAGCGTAAGCAGGGACCAGAACATCAGGAGTGATTCCAACATGGCTGAGAACCTGAGGGAGGAGCTCCCGCTCCACTTATCTGCTGCCTCACTTTCCTCTCAGACTAATCACAAGTTACACACTAGTAAACAAACAGATAGTATTAATCTACACGGGACTAGAAGTTTGTACAGCCCTCCCCGTGCCCTCCAAACTGAGGGGAGGGTCCGAAAAGAAGAAGATTCACAGTTAGAAAGTCACAAAACACGACAGGAATCGAGCCCTATGAAGCAAAACAAAGAAAGCAGCCAACCAAGCAGCCAGCGGGACAGAGAGGAGCGCCGGATCGGACCGTCGCTCTCTGAGCCGGTTGGTCGTGTTTTCACGGGGCACTGCGGCGAGCTACCGCCCGGCTGTGTTGAGGTTTCAGGTCTATGGCAGAAGGTCCGGTTTTTAAAATAGCAGCAGCAACATGAAAGTTCATCATTATAATCATAGTAATAACAACAATAATAATAATGGCCATCTCAGAGTTTAACAGACACACACAGTAAGACGGAGCAGTCCTCCTCATCCTCAAGCCTGAGGAAGAGGAGGAGGTTTAGGTCCACGAAGAAGAGCCGGAGAGTAGGTCCAAACAGAGAGAAGAAGAAGAGGAGGAGGAGGAGGGACAGATGCTGAGGTTTCATAGAAGCTGGAGGTAAACCTGCGCACACGTGCACGACTCTCCTCAGAAAAGAAAGAAACGCTGACGACATCAGGAGGCGGAGAAACCCGGCTTCACCTGCAGGAGCTGAGCGTTTGATTGGCAGGTCTGATCTGAGGTATTTCCTGGCGGTCAAAATGGCGTCTCGGATGCATAAGTGAGCGCGCGGCTCCCGGGGCCAAGGGCAAGGACGGGGTGAGGTCAGAGGTGAGGAGAAAGTGCTGAAGGACACAGAGAGCTTATATACAGGCGAACACGAACAGTCTGTTCTTTTTCTTCTTTCACTTTAAAAAAGTCCAACGGAAAAATCACGAAAGAGAAAACGTCCCAACAAAGAAACGGACAGCGTCCGAAAACAGACAGCCTCAACGCGACGTCGTTTTTATAACCAGAAGAAGATCGACCCCACAGCTCCCCAGAGAGTCTTTGCTCCTCCTCCTCTGTGATTGTGAGGCGCCTCCGCAGAGGAGCCGAGCTTCCTGCGGCGTTCCGGGTTTTGTTCTCAGGCAGGATTCGGTGGATTCTCCGCCCTCGCTGCGGCCTCAGGTTCCCGTTTTCCTCCAAACGGTCGCCACAGTTTCAAAACCAGGCGAGGCCGGCGAGGGCGCAGGAAACGTGACGGGGTAGTGTGTGTGTGTGTGTGTGTGTGTGTGAGATCAGTTCTGCTGCAGGATGAGGTTTTCCAGCTCGTCTGCTGAGCGCAGCAGGAAGGCGGCTGACTCTCGGTATCCAGCGATCAGCTGACGCACGGCCGTGATCTCTGGCTGGCTGAGCTGGGTCGACGCCCCGCCCCCTCCTCCACCACCACTGCCCCGCCCACCGAGGCTGTTGGCGGCAACAGAAGAGGAGGAGTTGCTGACGTTGGTGGAGGAGTGAGACTTCATGCTGAGGTCAGTGGGGCCTGCAGAGGAACACGGTCGACATCATGATGTCATTACTTAGAAATAATGTGATATTACATAAAATATGTTCCTGACACGAGAAAACATCCACAGGAAGGACCCGAACATTTCAACTTTGGACCTTTGATGATGAAACCACACCCAACAATCTGTAAGTAAAAGACGGACTGCTTGTGTCATCACTTACCGTTGGTCTGACCAGCAACAGCAGCAGCGGCAGCAGCAGCACCGGTTGTCAAGGAAACAGGGTGTTGCATGGTGGCGCTCAGGCCTGGGTATCCACGGTAACCGTAGCTGAGGCCAGCGCCGTTGATATAGAGCTGGGACTCCTGGGAGGAGAAGGCTGAGGCGGCCAATGAGTAGGCGGAGTGAGCGAGGGACGCCGGCTCCCTCAGAACGCCTCCGACCCCGGACGGCTTATCCAGAGTGATCTGCTCATCCTGAGGAAGGACAAGGAAGTCAGGAGCTTTTCAAAATAAAAACAGCACGATGGGGACAGGAAGCAGGAATGCTGATGCTGACAGGGGATTTTTCTCTCATGGAATTAAAGAAAAACTTCCAAAACTGGAAAGTTGATAAACGCAAACTGCACTCACAGCAGCTTCGAAACATATTCATGATCATGGGCACCGCCTGCCGTGGGCGTGTCCAACTACAGCTCTGAATGTTGTATGGATAACCAACACATCACAGGTGTGATGGCAGCTAAACCCAGTGGAGTGGTAATAATTAGTGCTGTCAGCGCCATAATCGCATTAACGTGTGCGTGGGGCTGCACGGCGCTAACGAGTTAACCGTGCTAACCTGTAGACGCCATGCAGCCTCTCGCACGGGGAATCTGCGCTAACAGAGATTAACGCTGACAGCGCTACTAATAATAATGCAAGAGCAAACACCAACAACTGGGTGAGCGGGGCTGTTAGTGTGTGTGTATACGGATAATAGCAAACACTGTAAGGAATTTTGTTCGCTCAAATTAAACTCAAATTTTCTCAGAATAGAGGCACAAAAATAACGCCATATCCTCGCCCCTGTCCTCCACACTGTCCTCGCCCCTGTCCTCCACACTGTCCTCCACACTGTCCTCGCCCCTGTCCTCCACACTGTCCTCCACACTGTCCTCGCCCCTGTCCTCCACACTGTCCTCGCCCCTGTCCTCCACACTGTCCTCGCCCCTGTCCTCGCCCCTGTCCTCGCCCCTGTCCTCCACACTGTCCTCGCCTTGACCCTGTCCTCCACCCTGTCCTCGACACTGTCCTCCACACTGTCCTCGCCCCTGTCCTCCACACTGTCCTCGCCTTGACCCTGTCCTCCACCCTGTCCTCGCCCCTGTCCTCCACACTGTCCTCCACACTGTCCACGCCCATCCTTGACACCGTCCTCGCCCCTGTCCTCCACACTGTCCTCCACACTGTCCTCGCCCCTGTCCTTGACACTATCCTCGACACTGTCCTCGCCTTGACCCTGTCCTCGTCACTGTCCTCGCCCCTGTCCTCGCCCCTGTCCTCGCTCCTGTCCTCTACACTGTCCTCGCCCCTGTCCTCCACACTGTCCTCCACACTGTCCTCGCTCCTGTCCTCCACACTGTCCTCGCCCCTGTCCTCGCCCCTGTCCTCCACACTGTCCTCGCCCCTGTCCTCCACACTGTCCTCGCCCCTGTCCTCCACACTGTCCTCGACACTGTCCTCGCCCCTGTCCTCCACACTGTCCTCGCCTTGACCCTGTCCTCCACACTGTCCTCGCCCCTGTCCTCCACACTGTCCTCCACACTGTCCTCGACACTGTCCTCCACACTGTCCTCGACACTGTCCTCGCCCCTGTCCTCCACACTGTCCTCGCCCCTGTCCACGCCCTCCTTGACACCGTCCTCGCCCCTGTCCTCGCCCCTGTCCTTGACACTGTCCTTGACACTGTCCTCGCCTTGACCCTGTCCTCGTCACTGTCCTCGCCCCTGTCCTCCACACTGTCCTCGCTCCTGTCCTCCACACTGTCCTCGCCCCTGTCCTCGCCCCTGTCCTCCACACCGTCCTCGCCCCTGTCCTCGCTCCTGTCCTCCACACTGTCCTCGCCCCTGTCCTCGCCCCTGTCCTCCACACTGTCCTCGCCCCTGTCCTGCACATTTCGTCCCTGAAACATGGCTGTGAGTCAGGGCTGTGCAGGGGCCACAGCATGTGTGTGTCTGCATGATGAGGAGACGCTGCTGCTGTAAATGACAGAAACGTGTCAGCGCTGCTGTTCTGTGGTCATCAGTCGGGTTTGTGTCACAGATAATATTCCTTACTTTTTGAAAAACAGGAACCTTAAATTGCTCGTCGGTTGCTGTGGTGTGAATGGTCTCTATCAGCTGTATGTATGCACTGCTTCACATTTTCCACAGTGAGCTGGATCGGAATCTTTGTCGGGCTGACTCTGGCCCGCGGGCCTCATGTTTGACACCAGCACTGAAGCCCTGATGTTCCTTCGGGGTTTTCTGATCAGAAAGGAGAGAGCGCCTCTCGCTGGAAGCCGTCAGTAAAGCAGCTCTGTGTCGGACACAACTGTGGAAGCACCGCAGGAACTCACGTGGTAGGCTTCGAGGCGCATCCTCTTGGCAGCGTTGCGTGATTCGCTCTCGCAGGCAGCAGCCAGGATGTTCTCAGCCATGGCCGAGGTGAGGTGAGGTGGAGTGGGGCGGGTCTGAAAACAACAGAAGCTCAGGGTCAGAGTCTTCGGGTTCTTCATCATCACGTTCACATCACTAACATCAAGGAAAATCATCCACAGCAGAAAAAAACAGAACAATTAACCAACGAGCTAAAAAAGCGATCAGCAGGAGAACATGAGGAGTGATCGTGAGAGTGGAAGGAAACGTCCAGGAGAAGGTAGTCAAACCGCTTCAGCTCACAGCGAGGAGGAAAACACACTGAGGAAGAGGAGGTGGAGATGAAGAATGAGGGCACCACAGGGAGGAAGAGCCTGAAGATGGAAAATAAGAGGTTTACAGGTGGGAGAGGAAGATGAAGGTAAACTGATGATCTGTGAGGAGAAGAGGAAAAACAAGAAGAAAAAGAGGATGAGGAGGAAGAACCAGAATAAGAAGAAGATGAAACAGCAGGAGATGAAGGACAAGAAAGCTTAGATGATGAAGAATAACATCAGCTATCCAAGCATGTGTGTCTCCACCACCAGGGGCAGCAGAGACTGTGCCGTGATTGGTCAGTTTGTCCTCCACACTCTCAGACTACATTTATGACATTGACCTTCAGAGCTCAGACTCAGCTGTGATGATCACCTGTGAAAGCTCCTGGCTCTGACCTTTGCCCTCTGTGGACGCAGACGTGAGCACCGTGACAGAGACGCGCTGTGACTGCGTGGGACACGAGCTCCGAGTGTCTTTGTCACATGTTCCACTGCAGGCACCTGTACCTGTTCCTTTGGTATATTATCCTGAGCTCGTGTCCTCTTTAGCCCCCGTCCTTCTGACCTTGTGTTTAGGTCACAGTGAACAAACCGCTTCAGTCCATCTGAGACCTTCACTTTAAATGCGACTCTACAGAAGTTCAACCATCCCAGCTAACCTTTGAGAACCGGTCCCCTCGTCTCGCAGACGCCCCCTGCAGGGACCTCCAGGGTGGAGCAGATTAAAGAAATAAGCAAAGAAGAAGAGCAGCATGCATGTTGCAGTACCTCCATGCCGTTCTTCTTCATGCGACGGCAGGATTTGAGGTAGGTGCGGATGCGCTTGCGGGCGCGTTCCTGGAACTCTGGGAACTGTCTGCTGCAGGACTCGATGATGGCCTGGATCTTCTCCTTAGGCTGCTTGGAGATAGGCACCATCCGATCCAAGTTCTCGTCCACAAACAGACGCACAAACATCTGCAGGAGAGTGCACACACACAGCAGGTAATGCCTACATGCATTGACACAGTTCATACACTGGAGAGGAGTTGAACAAAGACAAAGATAACAGCTGGACTGTTCTCATAACACCTGTTTAAATGGTTTTAAGTCTTAAGTTTGCATCTGTAGGGGGTGTGGCCTATTGACTGACTGTCTGCTAGGCTGAACTGGACCTCTGCACCATGCTTGTGTTGTTGGAGCCTTTTGGGCTGTGATGTGGGATGTGATCAGCACTGATCAGCATCCTCTGCTCCTTTTCTGTTCTTCGCTCTAAGCAAACGGTCGTTGGCTGTTCGTCTCTGCTGGGCAGAGCGTGTGAACACCTGTCTGCAGTGTCTGGAAGCACAGCTAACGCTAGCTTTGATCATTCGGTAGATTGTGATAATAAAAGTGGATGAAGGTTCAGATGTGCCGTGCTTTGGATCGATGCCTCGAACAGCTGTCCGACATTTCTGTTTATCAGCATAACGTTTGTTGATGGACGTCATTCAAAGCGCCGTCTCTCACTTACATTAAAGGCTTTTAATCTCTCGGGGTCGACGCCCTCCGTGTCGTTCATCTTGTCGTTGTCGTCATGGTCGTCGTGGTCGTCGTCATAATCATCGGGAGCGCCCTGGCTGCCATGACGCCCCACGGTCAAGTCTTCGGCGCTCAAGTCCATTTTCATGCTGTCGTAGCTGCCGCCTGAACTGTACTGTGGGGACTGAACACACACACACACACACACACACACACACACGCACACACACACGCACACACACACACACACACACACACACACACACACACACACACACACGCACGGTTACGAGCGGCTCTCTGTTTTACACGTTTCAGGGCTGTAAGTGGCTCGGCTGTTCCGACGGACTCGTCCTTAATAAAACACTAATTAAGAGTCTTGTTAGCGTCTGACGGCTCGCCAATGAAAAGGTGCTTAAATATAAAGATTTCGTTCACTGCTGCAGACACTCAGACATCATCATGACGAGTAATTATCAGCTGGAGAACAGTCCAGGCAGGATCACCTTACTAATACTTGAACACTTTCAAGAGAACCAAGTCAAATACTGGTTCCCTCTCACAGCACGAGGAACACCGCCTTTAAAAACACAAATACAGGACAGGCTGCCATCAAAAAACCAGGAAACACATGAAAGAAAACCAGTGAGACTTCTGGGAGAAGCTCTGTGTGCAGCTGGAGGTGAAACTGAGAGGCTCGGCGGTAAAATGGTGCAGAAACCAGTAAAGAATGTTTTCAAGAGTTTTGAGGTATGTGCTCAGAGCAAAGTTCAGATGGAAACATCAGACTGACGTATCAGATCTATGACATCACAGAGAGTCTGAGCCGCTGACTGTGTGAGACGAATGCTTTTATTGTGACGGGCAGAAACAGGAAGAAGTCCACAGAACAAATTGTGGTTCCGTTACGGATGACGTCATGACGACCGGGTCGTCGCTGCTAACGAAACCTGAACTAAGCATGGAGCCCAGGCAGTCATGTGACTCCTGAAAGAAACCCACTCAAGCTGTGTTAGACCGCACTCCATAACAGCGTGCACATGCACACACAAACACGCACACACACACACACAAACACGCACACATGCACACACACACACACACACACAAACATGCACAAACACACACACACACACACACACACACACAAACATGCACAAACACACACACAGACACACACACACACACACACACACACACACACACAAACATGCACAAACACACACACAGACACACACACTAACATGCACAAACACACACACACACACACACACACACACAAACACACACACACACACACACACAAACATGCACAAACACACACACAGACACACACACAAACATGCACAAACACACACACACAAACATGCACAAACACACACACACACACACACACACACACACACAAACATGCACAAACACACACACACAAACATGCACAAACACACACACACACACACACACAAACACACACACACACACACACACAAACATGCACAAACACACACACACACACACACACTAACATGCACAAACACACACACACACACACACACACACAAACATGCACAAACACACACACAGACACACACACTAACATGCACAAACACACACACACAAACATGCACAAACACACACACACACGCACAAACACACACACACACAAACATGCACAAACACACACACACAAACATGCACAAACACACACACACACACACACACACACACACAAACATGCACAAACACACACACACACAAACATACACAAACACACACACACACACACACACACACACACACACACAAACATGCACAAACACACACACACACACAAACGCACACACAAACAGACACACACGCACACACACACACACAAACATGCACAAACACACACACACTAACATGCACAAACACAAACACACACACACACACACACAAACATGCACAAACACACACACACACACACAAACAGACACACACACACGCACACACACTAACATGCACAAACACACACACACTAACATGCACAAACACACACACACAAACAGACACACACACACGCACACACACTAACATGCACAAACACACACACACACTAACATGCACAAACACACACACACTAACATGCACAAACACACACACACACACACACGCACACACAAACAGACACACACACACGCACACACACTAACATGTACAAACGCACACACACTAACATGTACAAACACACACACACTAACATGCACAAACACACACACACAAACAGACACACACACACGCACACACACTAACATGCACAAACAGACACACACACACTAACATGCACAAACACACACACGCACACACACTAACATGCACAAACACACACACACAGACACACACACACTAACATGCACAAACACACACACCTGTCGAGAGTTTCTGGCTCTCTGCGTGAGACGGAGCTTCGTGTGAGTCTGTGTTTGCAGCCTGTCTGCAGTAACACTTTCCCTCCAAGGCCAGCGCACATTGTTGTGAGTCTGTGCTATTCAGCGCCGCAGAAAGGCAGCGAGACGAGGAAGGAAGAAGTGCGATCTCCTGCGGCTGTGTGAACATCTCCTCCAACAAAGCAACGTGTTTGCAGACAAAAGCGAGGAGGAGATGTGTTCATGGACTGTTTCTCTCTTCCATATCATTTCTCTGTTTCCTTTAACTGTTTGAAAACAGCTTCCAGGCAGATCTCAGAGTCAGGCTCCTCTCAACCTCAGAGCTGTTTACACAATCTGATCCATCCAATCACAGGTGTCCTTGGAGCTGGCCAGGTGAGACGTTTCCTTCTTGTTGATGTGTGATGTCAACAAGCTGAAGATAACTGGATGTCTTCTTTAGGTTTAGAGACCTTCTGAAGGAGAGGTGAAACCTTTCCAACAACCTAAGAAATCCTGCCGGCTTCCCAACAGCCTTTCAGCTCCAAGCTTCAGTCCTCAAAGCTCTGAGGCTCCACTGAGAGCTACAAACCGAATCTTTCACCTCCCACAAACTGATCAGTGCGGCTCTTCTACAACAAACATTAATGTCCATGAAGAAGAGGATTTACAAGGTCTGGTTAGACACTGCACCAAGCTAAGCTCTGAACGGCACAACCTGAACTGTAGTGACGTTTGATGAAGACAGCCAAGCTTCGGGGCTGTGGTCAGCTTACATCGGCATGTGTCTTTGATGAGCGAAGACAGACACCGTCACATGACAGGAAGAAGATGCCTCAAACTTCAGCCCAGAGAAGGTCCGAGATGGTCAGCACAGCTGGATGTTAGCCATTAATCTGCTGCTAATCTGGTTTGGACTCCTGATGCTCAGCTTCATGCCTCACTGAGGACTCTTCTCAGAAATCTTCATATATTTGGTGTCAGACACATGATAAGCTGAGTTTAAAGGCCCTCTGGAAAGAGGCAACGCCACTGCCATCTTAACAAAACCTCCTCCTCCTCACTGCAGCCCCGCCCCCTGACATGAATAAGGGTTCCTCGCAAGTACACAGGAGGCTCCTCACTCGACAGTTACAGCTGAGGTAAACAGCAGACAGGCAGCCAGCACAGCTTTGCTATCAGGGTACAGTTTCTAAGGAGACTCTGGGGAAAAAACCTAAAATACACAAAAGTATTTCATTTTTCGGGATACAAGGTTAATGTAAACAAAATGCAGGTATTAACTTTAAACTATGAACCACCAGTCAAAATTAAGAATCGCTACTATGGGTGGTAATGCGTCGTGACGTCACCAAAATGTTCAATGCCAACTATGCCCCGCTAAACGAATCCATACAATCAGACAAAGATGGAATACCAACCAGATTAAATATTCTTCCCTGTATTTGTTTCAGTCTTTACCGACTGCCACAAAAACAGTTTGTGGCGTGGGACAGAATATTGTCAAAACACATCTGGAACGGGAAAAAAGCTCGAGTATAAACGCTCCAATCAAAGAAAGAAAAGGGAGGTCGTGGGCTTCCTTGTCTACGAGAATATTACTGCGCAGCTCAGCTAAGACCACTGATATGTCTCTGCTGTCCAGATTACTCCGCCGGATGGAAAGATGTTGAAGGAAAACCAGTTACAGCTTTAATATCGGACATAAAGTTACAGAACAAAACAGACATGGCAGATGAACCCATACTACAAATAATCACATCTGCTCTGAAAGAAGTCATCAGAATTTGCCTCTAAGCTTTGATGGTGAGCATGTGATTCAGATTTTCCCCGAATCAGTACGATAATAGATTCAAGAACTGGATTTGAAAAGGTATAACTAATTATTATTCATTCGTCCACAAGGAGGCATTTCAAAGCTTTGAAAGGAGCAAACATGATTTAGGCTCAGACGACTTCTTTAGATTTCTACAGGCCAGAAATTATTTTAATCAAAACTTAAAAGTGAACCTAAACGAATTACAGTTTGTAGAAACATTTTTATCATTAACCAAATCTGGAGCGCAAAGCAAAATGATTTCCAAACGATATAAGAGCATCCTGCGGTGTAAAAACCACAGCTCTCTGTATATGAAAGCAATGTGGGGAAAAGAAGGTAACCTGTCGATTACAGAGGAGTGTTGCATGACACAGTGGGCTACCACCGGGTCCAGTGTTTGCCGTGAGTTCTGCTGTAAAATCATTACGAGAGTTTTCATCAGCCCTGCTCAGCAAAGATATCGGGGAACTGCGACACTTGTTGGAGATGTGGGCGAGATGGAGCTAACCGTTTCCAAATCTTTTGGGATTGCAAAGTTAGTCACCAGCACTAATCCACGAACATCTACAAAATGTGTTGTCATTTGTTTTTCCTTTAACCTTTGAAACCATATTTTTGTGTAACACACCAGTGGATAAATTAATCTAATCATAGAAGACTTTTGTATGGCTGCGAGTAAAAAGCCTGTTACGAGGAGATGGCTTAAGCCTGAACCACATTCTGTACAAGAGATCTATACCATGGGAAAACTGTCATTTTCTCTTAAACTTCAGAGGGATACTGTCTACAGAACATGGGCTGTATCCCAATCCAGGGTCTGCAGCCTTAAAGGCCGCATTTTAAGGCCGATTACGTCACAGCGACGCGACGAAGGCTGTCCCAATTCAAAGGCTGCTCGAAATGCGGCCCTCAAATGCGTCCTTCATTTCCCTGAATTTTAAGGACGTGGCGGTGTAGACTTCATGGCCCAATATATCCCAGAATGCATAGCGCGGCGATGGGTGTGGATAATTTTGCCGAAAAAAAAAACGATAAGGGGCGGCCGAAGAGTAAACTTTAATTAAGTACTGAATATTATGTCGCTTATTTATGTGCAAATGTTTAATAACGAAGAACATTAAACATTACTGTTGGCCACACAAAGTCATGTGACATTAGTGACGTTTGTACTAACTTGGTTTTAAAGCCTTTAAATATACGCCGTTCAATAGCTGAGCTTAATCCTACAGAGAATGATCAAAGCTCATGTAGAAAGAAACACACGAACAAAAGGTTTTCTCCTTCATCTCTGTCAAACAAAGCTGTATGACACGTTTCCAGTGGTTAGTATCATGGTTGCTAGGCAACCTGGTCAGCACAACGGAGGCTAGACCGTCCCATTTCACAAGCCTCGCACTTCCGGCCTTAGCGGCCCTTGAGGATCGTTGAGGCTGCGTACTTTAAGGTTGCAGACCCTGAATTGGGATACAGCCATGGTCTAAATCAGGGGTGTCCAACTCCAGGCCTCGAGGGCCGGCGTCCTGCAGGTTTTAGATCTCACCCTGGGTCAGCACACCTGAATCAAATGCTTAGTTCATTCCCAGGCCTCTGGACAACTTCAGAATATGCTGAGGAGGTGATTTAGCCGTTTAAATCAGCTGTGTTGGATCGAGGACACATCTAAACCTGCAGGCCCTCGAGGCCTGGGGTTCAACACCTGTGGCCTAAACGGACAGAATATGTTAAGCCTGTGAGGTGTGATCTTTTATGAACCATGATTTCTTTTATGTTGATGCTCTGAGTTTCCCATTTCAATAATATGATGCTAACCTGCCTGCCCTGCTACCCCTTTACCCAAGTTCTTTTTAAAAATGTGAAAGCAAAAGTAAAATGTAGAAACGACTGTTATGCTTTCTCAATAAAAGAGACGCTAAAAGAACAAGTTTTTGAAGTCGTAGCGTGCAGAAGCACGACGACACAGAACGTCTCCATCTTCCTGATGGAGCGTTCCACGATCGGGAAAACGCCGGAATTAAATAGAGCTACAGAGGTACAGGAGGCTTGTGTCTCACCTTGCCGCCATATTCCCTGCCGTCGCGGTCCAGTCGCAGCTCGGTCGCGTGTGTGTGTGACTGCGTGTTGGGGGCGTGTGCATTGTGAGGAGCGTGTGTGTGCGGCAGGGGCAGCGGCAGGGCGGGATGTGGAGCTAGAGGAGGTTTGGCAGCCAGCGGGTACTTCCTGCGGAGCTCCTCGGGCGCGCTGGGATGGAGCGCGCCGAGCAGCGCCGCGGCCGCCGCTGAGACAGTGATGGGCAGGTGTGAGGTGGGCAGAGGCAGGCGCTGAGGAGGCGGGTCACTCAGGTTGATCGGCTGCTGGTCCTCAGAGGATGAGGAAGAGGAAGTGGGCCTGCTGAAGTCGAGAGGGGCGGGGCCACCGTTTCCATTCACAACCTCAGTTTCCCTGACTACGGCGCCATCTGTCACAGCAGAGGAGGGAGGGGTCAGGGCGGGCAGGCCGTTTCCACTGCCGCTCTCTGAGGACGAATCATCTGAAAGAAGAGACACGGGAGGGTTAAAGGTCAGACTGACAGCGTTCACTGATGACTTTCACGAGTTTGGTTCACACAGAGACGCCACCTCTCACAGGAAGAGCGACGTTCCCATAAAAGCTGCAGTTCCTCTAACGTCCACCAGAGGCTCCAACCTGACCCCGCCCCACACACAGTAGCAAACACGTGTGTCATGTGACCTGCTGGTTTGTGGCGACGTGCTGCATCGTTTCATTAAACTGAATGTGAGTGTGGGGGCGGGTCTAACTGTGACACTGATCACTCATTGGCCAACCAAATGTCAACGAATCAATCACAGATCTGTGCAGCATCACAGTGCAGTGTGTTTGACCCACACACACACACACACACACACACACACACACACACACACACACACACACACACACACACACACACACACACACACACAGCTACTGCTATAAATCAGTCACTGATAGAACAGATCTCACATTAAGACACTTTCCAGAGCAGAAACTCATCACTTGTCCAGCAGGTGGCATCCCTGCTCCATGAAGAAAACCACCTCAGGCTTTGAGACTCCCTCAGAGTCAGTCTGCTGTCTTTAGTGTTTCAGTGCTGCAGTGATGAAACCTCTCTGCCTCCATCAGCTTTACACAGGTGTGGTCAGGTGCAGCGCAGGGAGAAGCTGGGAGGAGCTGGTAACTACGAGCTGGAATCAACTCAGAGCAGTCATCAGACTCTTCATACTCCTACGTCATCATCATCATCATCTTCATACGAGACCATATACGTTCCTTCTTTTTGTTCTTGGACTCACCGCTCAAAATAATCCTTCTTTATCTGATCCTGGAGCCTCTGTCTGAAACAAGCTGCCTGAGCTCCTCTCCTTTTAACTTAACGTTTACACAAGCTTAAAGAGCAGGTAGGTGGGGCTTTATGACATCACAAAGACCCCAGAGGAGAAGAAAGTGTCACAAACAGTGTTTTAAACAGTCCGCAGCCTGAGCTCACAAACATCTGACAGGCCGGAGTGTGAAACTGCCAACATGTAGATTAAAAACTTAATAAGCCAATAATCTCAACAAGAGTACAATTAATAATGTTGGCATTTAATAATTCATTCAAGTGAGAGATAAACTGATTTGTTTCATTTTGTTTATATTTCCTTTTAATTAATCCCCCATTCATTTTCTTTTTTTTTAAATTTCCGCCTGCATTACATCAGCTGTTAAATCAATAAATCAACAGCCAGTCTCACACTGCCTCGAACGACGCAGGAATACATGCGATAAAACATAAAAGGAAAATATAAAAATGATTAATTCTGAGGACAATAAAAATAATAAAATGCAAAGAGATGATAAACAACGTGTCGCAAACACCTGCACCTAGTGTCAGTTTGGTGCAAGGACATGTTTAATGTCATTTTTGCTGTTTTAGGCCTCCATACACCAACAGCCACAACATGTCCATGTTTGCTGGGTCAAAGATGAAGACGAGCAGAAATGTGAGAACACAGATGTGACCGAAGCAGACCGCCTGCATTCCTGTGAGCTGTGGCTGACAATCATGACTCGCTGCGGTCTGCAGGATGGAGTGCAGCTCTGCGTCGGGCTCACAGAAACGAATCTGTGCCCCGCTGCCGCTTATCCTTCCCCGCTCAGGCCGACGGGATCCTAAATAAGTGATTGTGGAATAACTGCTTTGTGCAGGCGGGATGGATGCACCGCCGGCCTTTCATCGCTCAGCGCACTCACAGACACACAAAGGAGCCACATTTGAAACATTAGCCTACATTTTCCTCCAATTTGGGATTTAATTAGAGACGAAAGGACGGCGAAGGAGAAAGAGCCGGAGCGTCTGAACGAGCTGAAAAAGATGCAAAGTGAGGAAAATTACGGATAATTGAAGGATGGAGAGAAGCAGGAAAGGAGGAGGAGGAGGGACTGTGAGGCAGAGAGAGTGGAGATGGTGGAGGTGGTGTCAGTCGGTCAGGGCGGGGGCTGGGGGTGACAGAGGGGTGGAGCCCAAACTGCTGCATGGAGAGGGAGGGTGGGGTGGGGGAGTGAAGGAGGAAGGTGCAGCAGCAGAGAGGTCAGGAGGGGGAGGAGCGAGAGTCCTTTAAACTGTTTATCACTTCGTTTCTTATCCAGGCGGAGCTGAAAGAAGCAAAGTTGGAGTTTACTGACCAATCAGCTCGCAGCATTTAGACTCACAGCACCACTCTAACAGGGAGGGGAGGGGAGGGGAAGCCTGCCCGGCGCTGTTTGTTTGTTTATGTGTGTGAGGACTATTCATGCGTGGAAACGAAGGACAGCCTAATTCCTGATGCTGCCTCACAAATCCCCCTCAGCTGCCGGACCACCATCCCCACACCCCTTCATCCCTGCTCCAGCCCTCCAGCCCCATACTGTGAGCGGGTCTCTTCTCTGTCCACACTGGCTGAACAGGGAGTGGTCCTCCCTCTCTCTATCTTCCCCTCCTTCATCCGTCTGTTGTGCCAATCCTGAGCATACTGAAACTCCTCCCCCTCTCTGGATCCCTGTAAACACTGAGACAGTGCCGCCGTCTGTGGAGATGTTTGCTTTGAAAGACCCAAAGATTTAACGGCTGAGACTCGTGTACGGAAACAGTCCAGTGTTCCTGGTGGAGCGTTCAGTTTCAGATACATCAGTATTTGCTCCTTACAGCCAACAGCAGGAGGAGGAGTCCAACCCACAGCTACAGACACATTCCCAGAAGCGTTTTCTTCACTAAATACTTAAACTCACATTTCCAAACGTTCCCACAGCATTTTCATCCGACTTGCACTGACGACAGGAAACTGGAATCCCCGGAGGAAACCAGGACAGGTTTTGAACCAGCAACCTTCTTATCGTTCTCGTTTCCATCTCAAACACTCTAACATGCTTTTATTGTGACACTTAAAGCTCCTTTTTGACTATTCAGAGAAGCTTTGCAGGACTCACAGCTCAAAATAACCCTTCTTTCCCTGATCCTGCAGCTGTCTGAAACAAGCTGCCTGTGCTCCTCCAGCTTAAAGACAACTTTGTCATAACGAGCTTAACGAGCAGGTACACAGAGAACAGCCCTGTTTCCGAGCTCGGCCGTTCTTTATGCGGACGAATAAAGTGTCTCTTATCTTATTTTGAAGGATGTAAAAGAGCCTATTTGACTGTATGTTCTGAAAATAAGGCAGCTGTGACTGAACTTTGACCTGGCAGCAGTACACCTGCACCCTCTGCGGAGGAAACAGGTTAGAGGTCAGACAGGATGGGAAGAAGATGAGGAAGACGAGGGTCGAGCTATAGTCACTAAACGCCGCTGTGAAGCCTGCACCTTCAGGCTCAGCGGGGTTTGTTCCTCAAGGACAAACTCAAGGACTTCCACCTCCCCTTGCTTCTCCTCCATCACCCCCCCGCGCGGTGAAGCCGCTGTGATGCATATCAGCGCCAAGCGTTAGGCCGAGGGACAAATGTCTCCTCGCATCATTAACACACACCTCTGAGAGGAGCGCACAGGTGAACCACGAGTTTGACAGTCTGGTACTGTTTGAGTCTGAATCCACGGGAGGTGCATGGAGGAGGAGCAGGGGGAGGACAATGCTGCATCAGCTGACCTGGAAATGCGCGCCACCGCCAGCGTGCGCTTTTGTGGATTTATGGCGTGCAAAACGTCCTGTTTTCCACCACAGGACGTGGAGCAGGGACAAACGCAGGGCTCGAAACCCCACGCGGGTTTTACTGTGTTGCTCATACCGAGGCTCAAGGATGGAGCATCGCAGAATGTGAAGAAACGGCCGCTGACTGAGGCGACATCATGGAGGGTAAAACAGAAACGCCTTTGTGCTTCTGCGTGTGGAACATTTTAGCCCTCGACGTGAAGCGTCTCGTTATCCGCCTCGAGCGCCGTTTAATAATTAGAAAGTCTCTTTGCATCACATCCTCTGGAGTTTAGCAGCAAGCTGCTGTGGATCCGACATGATCTATGACAGCGGTGTGAAGACGTCCCAGACATCCACACCTGTCACACACAGACCCTCCACAGCCCACAGACTCTCCCACAGCCCACAGACCCTCCCACAGTCTACAGACCCTCCACAGCCCACAGACCCTCCCACAGTCTACAGACCCTCCACAGCCCACAGACCCTCCACAGTCTACAGACCCTCCCACAGCCTACAGACCCTCCACAGCCCACAGACCCTCCCACAGTCTACAGACCCTCCACAGCCCACAGACCCTCCACAGCCCACAGACCCTCCACAGTCTACAGACCCTCCCACAGCCTACAGACCCTCCACAGCCCAAAGACCCTCCACAGTCTACAGACCCTGCCACAGCCCAAAGACCCTCCCACAGCCTACAGACCCTCCCACAGCCCACAGACCCTCCACAGTCTACAGACCCTCCCACAGCCTACAGACCCTCCACAGCCCACAGACCCTCCCACAGTCTACAGACCCTCCACAGCCCACAGACCCTCCACAGCCTACAGACCCTCCACAGTCCTACAGACCTCCACAGCCCACAGACCCTCCCACAGTCTACAGACCCTCCACAGCCCACAGACCCTGCCACAGCCCAAAGACCCTCCCACAGCCTACAGACCCTCCACAGTCTACAGACCCTCCCACAGCCTACAGACCCTCCACAGCCCACAGACCCTCCACAGTCTACAGACCCTCCACAGCCCACAGACCCTCCACAGTCTACAGACCCTCCCACAGCCTACAGACCCTCCCACAGCCTACAGACCCTCCACAGCCCAAAGACCCTCCCACAGTCTACAGACCCTCCACAGTCTACAGACCCTCCCACAGCCTACAGACCCTCCACAGCCCAAAGACCCTCCACAGCCTACAGACCCTCCCACAGTCTACAGACCCTCCCACAGTCTACAGACCCTCCACAGTCTACAGACCCTGCCACAGCCTACAGACCCTCCACAGCCCACAGACCCTCCACAGCCCAAAGACCCTCCACAGCCTACAGACCCTCCACAGTCTACAGACC